CAGATAAGGATTATTCAACTTGTGATTATTACTGTTATTATTTTTGGTGACAGGGTCTCAGTCTATCACCTAGCAAGAGTGTAGTGGCATTATAGTTCACTGCAACCTCAAACTCCTGGGTTGGGGTGATGCTCCTGCTTCACCTTTCTGAGTACCTGTAACTATAGGTACAGGCCATCATGCCCAGCTGATTTCTTTTATTTTCAGTAGAGATGGGATCTCACTCTTCTCAGGCTGGTCTGGTTATTTTTAGAGATGGGGTTTGGCTTTTGCTGTGGCTGGTCTCAAAACTCCTGAGCTCAAGGAGTTGTCCTGCCTGGGCCTCCCAGAGGTGATTTATGTCTATAATCCCAGCACTGTAGGAGGCCCAAGAGTGCTAGGATTACAGGATGATTACACTATGCCCAGCCTCAACCTGTAATTTTTTTTTTAGAGACAGAGCCTTACTTTGTCGCCCTCGGTAGAGTGCTGTTGTGTCATAGCTCACAGCAACCTCCAGCTCTTGGGCTTAGGCAATTCTCTTGCCTCAGACTCCTGAGTAGCTGGGACTACAGGCGCCCACCACAATGCCTGGCTATTTTTTTTGTTGCAGTTTGGCTGGGGTCAGGTTCAAACCTACCACCCTTGGTATATGGAGGCGGTGCCTCGTTTTTTGTTGTTGTTGTTGTTGTTGTTTGAGACAGAGTCTCAAGCTGTCACCCTGGGTAAAGTGCCATGGCATCACACAGTTCATAGCAAACTCAAACTCTTGGGCTTAAGTGATTCTCTTGCCTCAGCCTCCCAAGTAGCTGGGACTACTGGTGCCTGCCACAATGCCCAGTTATTTTTTTTGTTGTTGCAATTGTCATTGTTTTAGCTGCTGTGGGCTGGGTTCCAACCTGCCAGCCTCGGCCTCCCAGAGTGCTAGGATTATAGGTGTGAGCCACTGTGCCTGGCTAATTTTTGTATTTATTTGTAAAGATGGGATCTCTCTTTAGCTCAGGCTGGCCTCAAACTCCTGAGCTCAAGAGATTCTCCTGCCTTAGCCTCCCAGAGTGCTAGGATTACAGGTGTGAGTCACTGCACCTGCCAGAACATAACCACAGCTAATAGCAACAGAAACTCTGAAGGAGTTTTAAGTGAAGAAATGTCCTATGGTCTTTTGTCAATCAGTTTAGCTGCTCAGTGGACAGCAGTTGGAGGAGAGCAGACCTGAGATTAAGGTACTGATGAAAAGCAGTGGCTCAAGAAGTAGGGTGCCAGCCTCATATACTGGAGGTAGTGGGTTCAGGCCTGGCCCCGGCCAAAACTGTAAAAAAAAAAAAAAAAAAGAAAGAAAGAAAAGAAAAGCAGCTGCAGAAATCTAGGTACCCGAGTGTGGTTGACCAGAACGTGGTGGTGGTGGCACAAATAGAGAATGGGAGGGTGATTAAAAGAGATACATTGGTGTCAAAAGGGATAGGATTTGGTGGTTGATTTGATTTAAAAAGAAAAGAAAGCTCATGCTTAAAATTCTAGCACTCTGGGAGGTCAAGATGGAGGACTGCTTGAGGCTAGTTGTTTGAGAACAGCCTGAGCAAGAGTAAGGCCTCATCAATACAAAAAATAAAAAATTAGGCGGGTGTGGTGGCTTCTGCCCGTATTTCCAGGTACATGGGAGGCTGGGGCAGGAGGGTCACTGGAGCCCAGGAGTTCTAGGAGTTCAAGGCTGCAAGATATGATGAGGCCACTGCACTCCAGCCATAAAATAAGGCTGAATGTGGTGGCTCACTCCTTTAATTCTAGCAATCTGGGAGGCCTGGATGGGTGGATTGCCCATAATCCTAGCACTCTGGGAGGCTCAGGCAGGACAACTCCTTGAGCTCAGGAGCTCGAGATCAGCCAGTTCAAAATCAGCCTGAGCAAGAGCAAGACCCCATCTCTACTAAAAATAGAAAAAACTAGGTGGGCGTCATGGTGGGAACCTGCAGTCCCAGCTACTTGGGAGGCTGAAGCAAGAGGATTGCTTGAGCCCATGAGTTTGAGGTTGCTGTGAGGTATGATCCCACGGCACTTTACCCAGGGTGACAGAGTGAGGCTCTGTCTCAAAATAAATAAGTAAAATAAAATAGCAAAGAAAGAGAGGAAGAAAGAAAAGAAGGAGAGGAGTTAAAAATAACTTTTTAGGTTCTAGCTTGATGGAGGTCACCACCATTTACTAACCCAAGAAACATAGGAGCAGGTTTGAGAGGAAACATGAGTTCAGTTTAATGTGCCTGCAAGACATTGTAGAGGTTGTTGGCTTATAGAATATAGAATTCAGGAAAAAAGTTTAAATGTGAGAATCCTAAAGTACAGAAATAGAAGGCAGACAGGAGGAATTTTAACTAGGTCATACACAAACAAAAATTAAACGAACCAACATATATCATTGCCTAAGATGAGCAGAGCTGTGGGAGGCACTAGATTTTTCAATAAGATGCAGTACCTCTTCACAGAAAGTGTAGTGCAGTTATGGAGATAAATGTTCAATTAACTGCAATACAGGGCACAGTGTGTAAACACAAGGAGAGATGTACAAATCAGGTGTTAAATGCAGAAGTGGGTAGGTGGAGGAATAGACTTTGAACTATACCATTTTGAGAGAAAGACATTTTAGGTTTCAGGTTTAGGGAATAACAAAGGTTGGCTGGGTGCAGTGATTTATGTCTATAATCCCAGCACTATAGCAGGCCCAAGGCCTGAGGAATAAGTTTGCTCAGGATTCAAGATCAACCTGGGCAACATAGCAGGACCTTGTCTCTACAAGAAAGAAAAAAATCAGCCAGGCATGGTAGTATGTACCTGTAGTCTAGCTACTCGGGAGGCTGAGGCAGGAGGATTGCTTAAGCCAGGAGTTTGAGGCTGCAGTGAGCTATGATGAGCCTGGTGTAGTGGCTCATGGCTGTAGGAGGCGGAGGTGGGTGGATC